AAAAAAAATACTGCCATCGAGTTTTCTGACTCATAGCCACTTTTCTGAGACTGTAAATCCTTATGGGAACAGAAAGCCTATCTTTCTCCCACAGAGCAACTGAGGGGTTTGAACTGCCAACTTTACTGTTAGGAGTCCAGTGCTGAAAGATGTGTACTAGGTACCTACCCTGTAACTGACACTCTCTGTGATGTTTTGAAAAATGCAAGAGCTGGTAGTAGGCAGCATGGCCACAATACTCTCCAAGGTATTAAAGTGGTTTTGTGTTAAGCTGCTAACTACAAGGTCAGCAGTTCGAAACCTCCAGCTGCTCTGAGAAAGATGGGGCTTTTTACATCTGGAAAGAATTACAGTCTGGGAAACTCACAGGGACAGCTCTGCCTTGTGCGATAGGTCGCTATGAGTGGCATCGATTCGATGGCAGTGAGTTTGGGTTGAGTTTTTGGTAACAGAGATGGCACATCACCTGGAGCTTCAGAATCGTTCAGAGTAAGCAACTGCTCACCATCCAGTGGCCCTGTTGGGGTAGTGGATTCCTAGTTGGGGTCAAACTGCTGGGCACGTGGCTAGTAACTCATCAGCCATTTGGAAGATGAGGCTGTCTGCTCTCAGACAGATTTACCACCTTGGAAACCCACAGGAGTTCTACTCTGCCCTTCAGGGCCGGTGTGAGTCAGAATTGACTGGGTGTCCGGGAGGAGTTTTGTTTTTATGAGTGGATCAGAGTAACTTTATAGACATCCCTGTGTGAGAGGAGAGAGAAAGGCACAGTGAGGGCTGAGCAACCATGGGTCCAGCTAGGAGGGACGTTCCTGGGGAGGTGACCATGATTTACAGGGCAGACTAGTGAGGAAGAAATGCCAGGGATCCAAGATTAGGTTGGTATTCCCAGGAGATGTGCATGGTTAGTGTGCTCAGTTGGTGACTACCAGGATGTATGTTCAGGGCCCCCGGAGGCACCTCCGAAGGCAGGCTTGGTGGTCTGTCTGCTGCCAAGAAATGGGAACCTCGGGGGCTCAGTTCTTTCTGGCACGCACGAAGTAAGCTCACTGATATGTGTGTTGTTGACACAGAGGACCTTGAGTGGTAAGGGTCCGTGGTTTCTGCTTCAGTGTCTCTGGTTACTGTGATTCCGTCAACAAAATGATACCCCGTAGTGCAAAGTAGGAATGAGAAATACAGTAGAATTGTTTACATAGAATGAGTCTTCTCTTGAACTTATGACACAGATCTTTGTATAAAGTAAAATACCATCCCAGCAACTTATTAGAAACAAGGTAAAAAGCCAGTGGATGAATCTGATTTTCAGATTAAATTATTACATTACAGTTTGTTTAAAAAAAATTTTTTTAATTGTTTTATTAGGGACTCATACAACTCTTATCACAATCCATACATACATCAATTGTGTAAAGCACATTTGTACATTCATTACCCTCATCATTCTCAAAACATTTGCTCTCCACTTAAGCCCCTGGTGTCAGCTCATTTTTTCCCCTCCCTCATGAACCCTTGATCATTTATAAATTATTATTTTGTCATATCTTGCCCTGTCTGACATCTCCCTTTACCCACTTTTCTGTTGTCTGTCCCCCAAGGAGGAGGTCACATGTAGATCCTTGTAATCGGTTCCCCCTTTCCAACCCACTCTTCCTCCACCCTCCCAGTATCGCCACTCACACCACTGGTCCTGAAGGGATCATCCGCCCTGGATTCCCTGTGTTTCCAATTCCTATCTGTACCAGTGTACATCCTCTGGTCTAGCCAGACTTGCAAGGTAGAATTCGGATCATGATAGTGGGGGCAGGGAGGAAGCATTTAGGAACTAGAGGAAAGTTGTATTTTTCATCGTTGCTACATTGCACCCTGACTGGCTTGTCTCCTTCCCGAGACCCCTCTGCAAGGGGATCTCCAGTGGCCTACAAATGGGTTTTGAGTCTCCACTCCGCACTCCGCACCTCATTCACTATGGTAAGATTTTTTTTGTTCTGATGATGCCTTATACCTGATCCCTTTGACACCTCATGATCACACAGGCTGGTGTGCTTCTTCCATGTGGACTTTGTTGCTTCTGAGCTAGATGCCCGCATGTTTACCTTCAAGCCTTTAAGACCCCAGACGCTATACCTTTTCATAGCCAGGCACCATCAGCTTTCTTCGCCACATTTGCTTATGCACCCATTTGTCTTCAGTGATCGTATCATGGAGGTGTGCACACAGTGATATGATTTTTTTGTTCTTTGATGCAGTTTGCCTTCTTAACATTTTTGGTACTCTTTAAAATCCTTTTTTAAAGTCCAGTAATGTAGACTACCTACAAATGATGTAGTCGAACCAGGTATGACTGTTGTGCATTGTACCATCTCTAGCCCAGGAACCCCAGAGAACTCTACTATGAGCATTAGTCCACAGAATAGAAGGAAGTTACCTGTAAAATCAGGTGTTTGTTTCTCATCATTAATCAGAAACTCAAAATAAGTGAAGTATTTACCATATATACTCATGTATAAGCCAAGTTTTTAGCATATTTTTAATGCAGTTTTTGTGGTAAAATTAGGTGCCTTGGCTGATATTCGGGTTGGTTTATACTCAAGTATATACCTTTTTAAATAGTCATTTTTCTTTACCTCTTATGATGTGCAAAATTCTCCTCAACCACATACATTTATTTCTTCAGTGCCTGCTCTGGACCCAATATACCAAAAGGCATAATGTTAAAAAGTCCCAGCCTCTTCTGACAGGTCAGGATAGCATACAGTCACCCGCTTCCAGGGAAAACCTCCAAGGAAGACACGGCCGTTGCAGAGACGTCGCTCCTGAATTGTGGAGAAAGACGCCGTTTCCTCTTGGAACAGAATAGAGAATGGGATGCATTTGTCCAGATTCAGAGAGGTGGTTACAGTCAGGAGGATGAATAGAAAAGCACTGTGTGGGTGCTAAAGAGCTTCAATGTTGATAAATTGGGGGGGGGGCCTGCTAGAAGAATAAGGCATAGATTTAGTGTGAAGCCTTTGGCAATAATAGTGTTTTGGAGTGACTGGAGAGAGGTTCTTGAAAGGTTGACTGCAGGTGCCCACTTCCAAATAGTAAGAACCAAGGAGTCTGGGAAGAAGACAGGGAAAGCAAGGGTGTCACCATTCACTGCCACTGAGTCGTGATGATGCGCAGTGACCCTTTAAGGCAGAGCAGAATGCAGTGAGGGCTCTGAGGTCAGAAATGTGTGCAGAAGCAGGTGGGAGGTTCAAACCACCCAGCTTTGACTTACCAGCCCAATGCTTCACCCACCCTGCCATCTGGGCTCCTTAGAAAGGTGGAGACAAAGATCTTTGGCTTGGGGCGAGGAGCGGAGGTCATGGATGGGGCATCTCTGTGGAGAGCTGGGATGGAGAGGGACTCCTTGTGATTGCAGTTCTCTTGGTGGGAAGAGAAGCCAGAGGAGGAAGTGGAGCGTGAGGACCTGAAGAGGAGCAGCTGCGCCATGGACTCAGACCAGAAACTTTATCCTGACCAAACAGAGGACTGTCCTCTCTAAAGGGCTATTTCCCCTTGCAGTTGGCCTGGTGCATTTGAACAGAAGGCTGAGCAGATCTACCAGGAAATATGGTACCAGCCTCATTAGAAATCAAGAAAATGACAGTGAACACTGAGATAGTTCAGGTTTATTGTGCCATCCTGGCCGATAAACATGTGGGATGAATTGAAGGGCAGAGAGATAAAATGACTCTGTGAGCCTCGCCTTTCTTGTTCTTGGGTCTCCTGCTCTCATGGTCAGACCAGAGTGCAGCTGCTTAGCCAGTTCCCTGCTTCAGCTGGAAAGGCTCACTTCCCGCGAGACGTCTCATCCCTGAGGAGAAGCCACATGGACCTACCCCCATGCAGCCCTGGGTGCTGGAGCAGCGTGTGGAGACCCCTGCCAGCGCTGAGATGCTTACACGTTCACTGACTCGGCTTTCCTCCTGCAGTCGGCATCATAGTGTGTGTGTCTTGTGAGATTGAGGACTTTGTAGATCGGTGTCGGACATATGGGCTAATGTTGGACTTATGGGCTTGGACAGCACTGGGTTGGGATGCTGTCTTAATGCACACTTACTCCTTATACAAAACTCTCTCTTCTATACTTAACAGTTCTGTGGATTTGTTTCTCTACAGTCTACCAAGACTAACACAAACACCATAAGGAAAGCCTACCCCTAGACCTTCCAGAATAGCTCATAAAAAGCTTGACAATACCACGTGTTGGTGAGGAAGCAGAGTGGAGAGAACCCTCTCACCAGTCTGGCATTACATACCAGAGGTGACGACAAGTACCGTCGACCCTCTCACTCCTCGTTAGTTATATTCCCAACAGACAGAGGCACACATACAAGCATGCTCAAAGCAGTCCTCGTTATGATTATAAAGTTGAAAACAACCCAGATGACAGCACATTCAGTAAAAATACTGTACAGCTACATGTGACAGGAGTGATTTTCAAAAAGTTGAATGAAAGAATAGACACCCCCCTCCAAAAAAAATCTAATTAAACATATGCTGAGTTTAAAAAAACAGAACTGAATACTCACATTTAAGGATTCATGCTTGAGTGTCAAAGCAACGGATTGTGGTTTCATTGTTTTAGGGAGAGAGAGATGATTGGGGGGGTTCTGAGGCTGGCAAGGTTCTAGGTGTGTCTTGTTTTCCTTTAATCCTTTCTCGTGAATTCTGTGAAGGATTACAGAGCAAGTCAGTTTATTCCGACACATTCTGTGCCAAGTTGGGATTGGAATCCCACTTAACCCACTACTTCTTCCTCGCTTAACTTCCTGCCGCCCCAACTTGGCAAATGCTGCCTTTCTCATCTCAAATGGTTGATAATCCAAAAAAGTGCGTAGCTCTCTGGTATTACCGGTTCCCTATGTTCTCTCGTGTGTGTGTGTGTGTGTGTGTGTGTGTGTGTGTGTGTGTGTGTGTGTGTGTTAGAAAGTAGGAGGACTAAGTGATAGGATGATGCGCTGCATATGAATAACTTTGACTACAATTTCTCATCAGTTAGCCCCTTCCCTTCAGGAGTGCTCTCTCTCCGCACCTCCAGGAAGTAGTGTCACTCTGAGTGAGCACCTTGCCACCTGAAAGGGCTTTCCTTGTCCAGTGGCCTCGCTGCTGTTTGGTAAACTCTCGTGGGTCCTTCTATACAACCACCAGAAACAGCAATGTCTGATAGCTCCTGGTTTAAAATCTGTGCTTAAAAAAAAAACAACCCTGCATCCTAATATTCTAGAAGTGTCTTCTGGTATTCAGTTTTACATTTTTAATTTTAGATTGAGCTTTAAAAACTTAGATTTATTATAAACAAATCCCTGGCTATATAGTATTAGTTCTAGACCGGCCTTTTCTGCACCAGTGTAGTTTATCTGTACACTGTGGTCTTACACAAGCGGTGTATATGTGTATAAGATTTCTAGATTTTTTAAAGATTTTTAAATTGGCTTGTTCTAATCATGTATCTGGGAAGCCATGGTTTTTTATTGTGAAAGGTACCTGGTTATCTGTATTTTTTCTTGAATTATTGCTGAACACTGAAACTCAGTGAGCTGTAGTTAGGCATTTCCTAGAGCTCGGTCCTGCAAGTGTCTATAAAACCCTTTCAGACAGGCATCTTCCCTGCTCCTCCCCTTCCGCCCCACAGTGCTCCCGTGCCCCATTGAATGAGCCCTGGCTGCCATTCCAGACGGTGTCTGCCAGATCATTTGCCCTGGCCTCCATCACTTTTCTGAAACTTAGCCCTTAAGTACTTTCATGGAAATAAATATTTATATATATAAAATCGTCTCACCCTATATGGCTTTGGGGGAGCAGGTAAAGTTAAATAAGTGATTGCAACCCCCTGTGCCTCGTTATGTTCTTGGAGGTTGGTGACATGAACAGGAGCTCTCAATCCGAATACGTCTCCACAGGGGACCTGGCTTCCTCCCGTCCTAGAGTTAGGATCTCGGACACCCACGGGGTCAGTCGTCTTCCACGATTGTCCAGTCGCCATGAGTCATGGTGAGCGAGTGGTTTATCTATAGTGCCTCCTGTGTACGTTTCTTCTTGGTTCCTTTCAAACACTTTTGGAAATTTGGGCTGGCAAAATACCGTACGTACTCATGTATAAGCAGGGTTTTTCAGCACATTTTAATGCAGTTTTGTGCTAAATTAGGGGCCTCGGCTGATAGCCGGGTCGGCTTAGACTCGAGTATATGTGGTAGCTACTTTTCCTTTTCCTCATGCAGTGATTCTCTAGTTGTGATATTTTCTTTCTCGCCAGATATTCTGTTAGCGGTTCTCAAATCTGGATGCACAATAAACCCTTGTGGGGAGTTTTAAGCCTGTCCTTCATGTTCTTGAATGCCATCCTCAAAGGAGTGCTCTGGCTGGGCCTTTTGGCATACATGTTAGTGCTGGTCTTTGCCAACACCATCATTCAGAAGCATTGGTTCTTATTCTGTTCACTGTCCAGCTTGCACATGCATTTGAGGAGACTGAAAGCACCGTGGCTTGCTTGGGTCAGGCACCTAAGTCCTCAAGGTGACATCTGTGCTTGTTAACACTAGACGGAGATCTGTTGCAGCAGGTTGCGCAGCGCAGTGTCATATTGGATTGCTTGGTTGCTGCTTCCAGGAATGTTCAGTGTGCAGCCAAATAAAATGAAATCCTTGACAACTTCACTCTTTTCTCTGCGTGCCTTGATGCTACTTACTGGTTGAGTTGTCAGGCTTGGGGTTTATGTTACGGTGTCCCCCGTACTGACGCTGAGTTTAACCCCCACAGATTTCAACGTAATTGGTCTCGGGTTGAACCTGGACAGAATAATGTTTTAAAGCTCTCCTAGGTGGTCCTTATTAGCAGCCAAGAATTGAGACCACTTTGATAAGCCCTATTCTTATCCCAAAAGATTCTGTTTTCCTCCAGTTTATCCTCTATTCTGGTACCTTAAGATGTTCCCATAAATGTTTTTTAACTTGCTCCTCTTTTCTTCCTCTCCTAAAAATCAACCCTCAGTTGTTAGCAACCATGGGAAAGAATGAGTATGAAGTCATTAGATCCATAGTTGATGAGTTATTATAGTCAGTAGGCCAAAACCACCTCTGTTACCAAACCTGTGTACAAAGATTACCCGTCCACTCAAATGGACTGATGTGCCGCAGTACTTCTTTTGCACCATCCTTCACATGGTAAGCGCCAGGAAGGAGCCATTCAATTAGCGAATTTCTCTAGCACCTACCATAATGAAGGCACTCAGCACCCCTAGTTTGCAGAGATCTCCCCGCAGCTTAATGAATGTATGTATGTAAATGTATATACATTTAGGTATGTCAAGGGCCCGTTAGCATGGTCAGAGACTCATGTGTCCTGTCTTCTCTCTTTCAGGTATCCAAACTATTGACTCTACCCAGGCCCTGTTCCTTCCAATTGGAGCATCAGTCTCTCTCCTAGTAATGTTCTTCTTCTTTGACTCCGTGCAAGTAGTTTTTACAATATGTACAGCAGGTAAATGAGTTTCTTTATCTAATCTTCAGTCACCTAAAAGGAAATGTGTTCACTCTGTTTATTGTCATTCAGCACTGAAGGCTTTATGCCAGACCATGCAAGTTTTTTCTTGATTCAGTCCAGCCTTTTCTTTACTTCTCCCCATTCCCAACTTTGACCAATTTGGGAAAAGGACACCTGAGAGATGTGGATGTGCTCAGGCCTGCAACACAGTCTAAAAGGCAGGCCAAGGATTTGACAGAACCTGTGCGTGGGATGACAGCAGAGCAGTACTGCTGTGGCTGCAGTGACACTTCTAGGTTACCAGGTGGTCCCGTTTTGTGAATGGGGTGGTTGACACTCCCTACCAATGTTTCTGAAAATAAAGAGTTAATAGCTGATGAAGGCAATTTGGCAGTCAGCTCTCTGATCTACTCCAACCTAAGAGAGCATGGGAATGTGTAAAACATCCACACCCTCGCATTGTTTTCTGATTCTTCCAACCAGGCACCTTTTTGTTTTTAAAGAACCAGTTTCTTTCATGATAAAGGAAAATGCTTTTCTTCACCAGTTAAAAATTGTATTTACTTGTCAAGAGGCTATATTCCAGGAATGATTAAATTTAAGTCATGTTCAAATTAAGTTGACCTTTTTTTCTCCGTCTCTCTAGTTCTTGCAACAATAGCTTTTGCTTTTCTTCTTCTCCCAATGTGCCAGTATTTAACAAGACCCTGCTCACCGCAGAACAAGTAAGTACTTGGGATTGTCTTCAAAGTTAGGCCCTGTGAATGCCTTTCCCTCATACCGGCTCACAATGTCAGGAGTCTGAAGGTGTAGGACCAACGAGAGCCCCGGGAAGTGAGGTGCGGGAGGTTTCAAACCAGAAGTCAGAATCATGGTGCTGTGCTTCTTGCGTGGGAGACTGGAAGATGGGCTTTTCTCTGTGGAGGTGTGCCCTTCCTGACTACCGTGGGAACCGTGGTTGCACGTGAGCTGTCTTGTTTGCCTTTCGTCTTGGCTGACCTGCCTCGTACCCTCCTCACAGAGCTTTAATCCCCAGAGCCACACCTCACTCCTCACGCCATTGTTGTGAACGGGAAGGGGCTCTGTGCACATGGACAGACAGCTAGTTTTCTCAGGAATTAGCAAGAGCTGAATAGATTTACCAGCTCATCGATCTTTATCTTTGCTAAATGAATTAAATTATTGGCTTTCTTAATTTTTCCCCAAAGTTTATATTGTGGTGCACATTTCATCGACCTGCTTCCATTTATAGGTGAGCAGTGTTATTTCTTAAGTGCTAAACAAGTAGTTGAAGGTTAATTAGCAGTTTAACTAAATACGTAGTAATGCTGCCAGTATCCTTTATATAAAAACAATTCACTAAATGTTCAGATGAGTTAAACAGCAGGTCTTTGTCTACTAATAAGCTTTTTTTAAATATATACTAAACTGGATGAGAAAAGAGTATTTCAGGATTTAGTCTAATAGATGTTTCAAAGTAGGGGTTTAGAATTGATAGCATTGAATGAGAATGCTGGTTCCCAAAGTCCCCTGTTAATAAATTCTCTGAGCACCATTTTGACCCCCTGAAAAGCGAGCCTGATTTCTCCTCCTCAGGGTTGTCATGTGATGTCACAGAGACAGTCCATACTGTTGACCTTGAGAAGTGTTTAAAAACAAAAAATACATATTTTCAAGTTTATATTGTCACTTGGAAGCTGTAAACCCTCGTGTGGAGTCATTTTCATGTGACTCTGGAGGTGTGACGCCTCTGCCTTTCTGTAGTGTGCTCCAAAGAGGCTGGGGACCTGGGGTTGCGCTACTGCGCGGGCCGTCTGCAGGGGCTCAGTGCATGCGTGTTTTCCAGGATTTCCTTCGGCTGCTGTGGGCGCTTCACTGCTGCGGAGCTGCTGTCCTTTTCCCTGTCCGTCATGCTCGTCCTCATCTGGGTTCTCACAGGCCACTGGCTCCTCATGGACGGTGAGTCCTCATAACCCCTCCTGCCGTAGTCCATCTGGCCTGGCCTCGCTTCCTCCACTTCCTGGGTTCACTGGGAGTAGTAGATGTCCTAAGACTGGTGCTACCTATCCTGGACTTTTCCAGTTTTTCCCACATTCTAAAGATAATTTTTAAAAACCGCTTTGAGAGATATATGTCATTCACCTAAAATTCTCCTTAAGTGTGTAAATCAGTGGATTTTGGTAATACTTACTGAATTGTGCCACCCTATTTAGAGTATTTTCATCACACGCACCCCTGAAACCTGACCCGACAATCACTACCCTTTCTCCTACACCTTGGCTGTCCACTGGTTTATTTTTCTGCCTGCATGTTTGCCTACTCGTATATAATGGAATTGCATGTTAGATGACCGTTACTGTCTGGATTCCTTCCAAGGATCGACACACCACGTTGTATTTACCCGGCAGCAAACACCAGTTGTTCCCATGACTCAGAAGTGGCAGGCAGAGTCACCAGTGCGTGATCTGTGTGATCATTCACCTCTGCTGGGGTCCGTCCTTACCCTGGCACCCTACTCGGCCTCATAGCAAGGACTTGCTTGATTCCCTTCAGCCCTTGAGTGGCCACTCTACATGTGAGCATTCGGAAGCATCACATATAGAATGTTTACGTTATCAGAACTGCAAAATTTCACAAAACCAATTATTAGTGCTTTCAGTATTCATACAGATTTGTATTTAATATCAATGTCGATGCTTCTGGAGGTTGATACAAAGTGTAAATTATGAAAGTGAAATTAATGCACATTCAAGGACACACAGCATATTGCTTGCCCAGCTTAGAGGACAAGGTGAATGTAGACCAGATAGTAGCAGTAAGGAGCCCTTTTGGTATTAGTGGCTTAGAGTTGGGCTGCTAACCACAAGGTCAGCAGTTGGAAACCACCAACCACATCACAGGGGAGCTGAAAGGTTTTCTACTCCCATAAGGCTTTACAGTCGTGGAAACCCATTGGGGGCAATTCAGCTCAGTCCTATACCGTGGCCAGGAGTTGGGCTCGACTTGACAGCAAGTGAGTAAAGTGAGATACGTTAAGAATGATAAAGTGGCAGGTATGTGCATTGGACCGTTCCCAAGATTAAGGTCTTGATTTCTACAGGAGAATGATTTGTTAGTACTTGGTGTCTGGAGTACAAATGGGGGATGAGGGGAACAGGAGAGATTGTGCTAGAAGGCATTTCTTGTCAGAGTGTGGATCTTGACCATGATGGAGCAGAGAGTAAATGCTAGTCCAGATCCCTCCCATCCTCATTGCGGTGGTCAGGATTCACAGCCTCAGGCCCATCGAGTCCAGCCGCCTTCTGAGGAAGAAGCAGGCAAGTCTCCGCACAGCTGGAGGGGGTGTTGCAAAAAATGAAAAAAATCCCATTCTCATTATTCCATTTTTCCACAAACTTTTCGAAGCCCCTCATATTTAGAAATGCTGGTTATTTGGTTAAAATCTAAACTCAGTTATTTCAGCCCTTGTAAATGTTTTGGATGACGCTTGAGGACAAGCTCTTAGAAGAGATGGTCTTCTGAAGGTGTCCTTAAATGACAGGTTGGAGGCCACCCAAATAAATGAGCAGCTTCAGGATGTAGCTCAGGATGTTTAGCTCCTGTCACATCCCTGCAGTCCCACTACTAGCTTTTGCTCGGATTGCTTTACTTGTGTGTCCCAACCCACGGGAAGCTGGTCAGAGAGGCAGGTGAGTTTCAAGTCCTTTACTAAGGTGTGGAGAGCATTGCACGGGCCAGAATCCCCACCTGCTGACTATGTCACCATGGCTCGTGTGCCCCTGGAAAGAGGCCGGCTCGTTGAAACATGGCGTTCTCTTTTTCCTTTCTATTGGTCATTTCATTGGGGGGGCTCTTACAAATCATTCAAATTAAGCACACTTGTACATGTGTTGCCATCAACATTTCCAAGACATTTTCTTTGCACTTGAGCCCTTGGTATCTGCTCCTCTTTTTCCCCCCTCCCTCCCCCACCCTTACATATCCTTGATCAATTATGTATTATTGTTATTTCATGTCTTGCTGTCTCCCTTCACCCTGGGGGTGAGCTATATATCCAACCTTGTGATGGGTTCTCATGTCCCCCTCCCCTCAAGATATCACTACTCCCACTACTGGTCCTGAGGTTTTTACCTGTCCTGAATTCCATGTGTCGAGAGCTTTTATCTGGTACCATTGTTGATGTGCGTCTACTTGTTTCCCTGCTGGATAGTTGATTGTTTAATTTCAAGCCTTTAAGACCCTAGACGCTATATCTTTTGATAGCCAGGCACCATCCGCTTTCTTCACATTGGCCTATGCACCTATTTTGTCTTCAGTGATTGTGTCGGGAAGGTGAGTATCAAAGAGTGCCAGGTTATTAGAACAGAGTGTTCTTGTGTTTAAGGAGACTTTGAGTAGAGGCCCAAAGTCCGTGTGCTAAACATAGCCTCCTAAACAAAGCGAGTCAGCAGGATTGTCTTCGTTGTACTTTGGCAAGGGGTGTGGGAATGGATGAATTAGACTCCAAATAGGAGGAGGAGTCCTGGTGGCATAGTGGACCACACACTGAACTGCTCACACAAGATGGACAGTTCAGATCCACCAACCGCTCCATTGACAAAAGATGTGACCCTGGGGAGCGCCGCCGCCGCAGAGGCGCGGTTGTGCTCTGGCCTGCAGGGTGGCTCTGCGTGAGCGGAGCAGCTCTGAGAGAGACCTACAAAAGGGTCCCTCTCTTCTGCTGCAGGCTCATAGAACACCGGGCAGACTCAAAAGCGAGATAATGGAACTTTTCCAGTGACCACTATCAGGCATGCATTTCCATTCTGACATCTCCCTGATTTAAATATTTGAGTGAATATTCAATGAAGCCTCCCACCTGGCCCGAACTAGATCTCGTCTCTTTCCAGGTGCACACTGGTGAAGTTGTCCTCGTACCAAATACAGAATTTTTCCTCTGCGGAGAGGAAAACTTCCTCTGGGCCTTTTAATTCAGAATGACTTGCCTGTCAGCTTGGTCTTCATGTGCAACTTGTTTTCTGCTGTTACGTAATGTTGCTTTCTAGCTGTGGTCTGGAAGGTGCTAGAATCTGCTCTTCTCTGCAGAATCAGAAATCATTTCACAGGCACTGAGGTTTGGTGTTAAAAAAAGGCTAACTAAAGCCTGTCCTTCGAAGTTCATTTATGAGTGAAAATGGGGGGTGGGGAGTGGTGGTGATTTTGGGAAGGCATGACGTGTAGTTTGGGGTTATACTGAGAGCTGTCGGAGCTGGTGAGTGTGTATTCTAAGCTGTGAGTTTGGGGGGAAAAGATGAGGCAAGGTGGTGGTGAGGGCCACAACTCCCCTCCCCACCCAGCCCAGGTACCAGCCGTACCCTGGCAGACGTCTCGTCCAGCCCCCACATGCTGTAGGAGTTCCCGCTCACCTCGGATGTTGTTCTTGCTTTAAAATGCTAGGCTGTGGCTGGAGTCCGTGTAGGTGGAAGCACCTGGAGAGACTGAGCAGTGCTGAGGCCCTCGTAGAGGACGGTGTGCTGGGTGTGGTTTCATTGCCCTGGCTCTGCGGGGCCAAACAGTCAAGGGTATAATGCCAGTAATAATTAAAGTGGAGAGACTGAAATTAGTCTTCCCAAGACCTTGGTTAC